ATCATCATTTAGTTGTAAGTATATTTTTAGGAAATTAAATGAATGAAATATTTTTTGGTATTAAATATTTTCCTAAATACTCAATTACTTTAATAGTATTTTTTTTTAAAATCCTAATCTAAAAATTTTAAAGAATTGCTACTTGAGCTTCTTTAAAATCTCATCATCAGAGATTATTATTATTATTATTATTATATATTTTTTGCATTAGCTAGAGTGCATAGAAGATAAATTACATCCAAAAATAATTTATAGCATGAAAGATTAAATTGCATGAAATTAAATTAAGCATAAAAATGTAAACAACAAAAAGATTAAAATGCATGAGATTTAAACTTTAATTAAACTTAAATAATATGAAAGACAAGTGTATTAGATTATCCATTAACAACCTATATCAAGCCTAAGGCAAAAACAAATGGATAGTGGGGCCTTACAATAATTGCCTAGCTTTAAGCTTTATACTCTTTTCCCATGAATGGTCACTATGCAAAAAAAGAAATAAATGTGAAAGTTTTAAACTTCCCCCATAGCCAAACAAACAACTAACTGTTAAACCTTATATAAGAGGTAGGCACAATGAGGCATCAACAAAAACAAAAGAGATGAAACCTCAAGTTCGTGCAAAATCATAAATGACAAAACAACGATTTAAAGCTTAAAGCTTTGAAGAACACATAAGACAGTAATCCCAAATATGATGGAAAGATCTTTTGGCTCCCATATAAGAAGGATAAATAAAAACAACATGCACAAATGAGATGGAATTTCAAACCTTTGCAAAAGATGATGCCAAAATAGCAAACAAGAAGAAAAAAGAAGAAAAGGACACAAACTTCAAATCCTCCCTGCCAATACCTCTATCTTTCCCTTTTTATAACCTAACTTCTCTACTAAGTAGGAAAATTATTTTAGCATCAAAAATAGGACAATGGAAGCCCAAACCATGCATCGAACTTTATCAATAGCAAATGAAGAATTTTTCATGGCTAGCATTGAAAATAAACAAGGTAAAAACCCTGAGCTCCTATGCAATGAAAGAAAGAAGAAAAATACCACTCCCATTTTTAAACTTTTACATGAAAACAGAATGCGAAAGGAAAGAAATATAGTTTTTTTTTTAAACAAAAATTAAAGATCAAATATGTACTAGCCTAGACCTTACAACATTTTTAAAATAGAAGGAAAGAAACCTTTACGTGAAATTTTGAAACCCAGTGATCAAAAGGGAAACAAAACTTCTCTTACAAGGTTGAAACTTTAAAGTAAAACTAGAAACTAAAGATAACCCAAAACAACTTGCATTATGATAGTCTAAATCCTTTTTAATCTTACATGAAGCATATGTGACCCTATATAGAAGAACATGGCAGGTACATTATGCTTTAGATCATATATAAAACAAGTTTGATATATGGGAATATCTAAGGGAAACAAAATAAACCATCTCTTTTTTTTTTTTTCCACTTTTGGCTCTTTCACGATCTTTCTTTTCATTCTTGTTGGTGGCTCTCTAAGGCTCTTTTTTTGCTTATGTTTTTCGGCTACCTTTGGATCCCTTTGTTGCTTCTTATTTTTTTGGTTTTTCGAAAAGCTCATTTCTTTTTTCTTATAGTTTTCCTGCGTTTCCAACCTTTTGCTCTTTCTTTTTTTGTTTCTTTTTTTTTTTAGAACTTTTTTTTTTGTAAAAGCTCTTCCTCTTTTTTTTTTTTTTTCTATAAAAGCCCTTTTTACTTGTTTTTTGTTCTCTTTTTATCATGGCCCAAAGCTTTGCTCCCCAAGTTTTTGGTTTGTTTTCATCCTTTCCCATTTCCTAGGCCATCCCACTAACTCTTGTTTTTTTTCTCTCCATGTTGTTGGTGCCAAAACCCGCAACTTGTTTCACACCAAGGCTTTTTTTTTTCTTTATCATACAAAACTAAGATGTCAATCTCATGCCTTTCCTTTTTCTATTACTTTTGTGTTTTGCCATTAAAATCTCCTATAACCTTTACGTGCTTCCTCTTTTTTCTCTTTTTTTTTTCACTTACGTGCCTTTAAATGTTTAAATGATCTCATGCAAAATATCATCACACAACCCGAATAGGTGTTCCCCTCATTTTCTTCTTTTGGCTTTTTTAAGCCTTTTTAATGTTTGGGCTTTTATTTTATCTTGGATCTCTTGTTTTTATAATTTGAGCTTCCAAAAATATAGGGCATTTCTTTTCCATTTTTGTTCGAGTCAAGCTTAAGTTATGCTTCGGTTTGGATTTTCTTATTTAGGCCATTAATGATCAATGTAATGGGCCTTTTTAAAATAGGCTGTATGATGGGTCTAAAATAATGGGTCTTAGCCCACATACAAAAAAAAAAAGAGCAACAATGTTAAATTGTTTCGAAAAAAATTAGATGTCTACAATAACACTTACCTAACTCAAACCTAAAATATCTTAATAAAAAAACCTACTTGGACTTAAAATTATTTAAATCCAAAACAAATCAAATAACCTAAATTGATTCTAATCCCAAATAATACAAACTTAAACAATCCGAAAAACATATCTGAAACAATCCAAACTTAAATTTAATAAAATTTTGTTTTAAATATTAATTTAATAAAAATAATAAATATAACACAAACCAATAATTTGCTAATATTAAGTAACTTTTTATTGTTTTAATTTTTAAAAAAAATTTTATAAACCTTTAAAAGTTGTATTTCTTAATTATAAGTATCATATTAGTTATAAGTAAAAAAATTTTGCAAACATCAAAAATAATTTTTTATTTTTTCTTGTTCAAACTTATACATCATAAATAAATTTTTTATATAAAAAACTAAAATCAATCAAATTTTAAGATATGCTATAAATTGAAAATGTAATTTTGAATAGTTTCATTCTTGTTGATAAAATCTCATTTTATTTTAATTATTCAATTCAATTTGATTTGACTTTAAAAATTTGAACTCAAATGACCATACCTAAATAACATGAATATCAAACACAAATGAATCAATCCAAAATAATCAAAATCCGAAATGGTTTGATCTCAAAATAATTTAAACAAAGTTTGGGTATCTAATTGTGAAATTTTTTTATAAGTACCAAATCATAAAAGTTGATATAATTTAGGGGGTTAAATTACACAATAATGAAAGGACATGATAAGATTAGAGTGATAAAAATTTAAAAATAAATTTGATAATTTATGTATTTATATCGTATTTATTTTATATCAAATACATGTAAAATATAAAAAAAGATCGTATCAAATTATTATCGACATATCAAACATTATATATATCTTTTATCTAATAATAAATAATTTTTATTAAAATTTTAAAATTTGTTACTTTTATTTTTTTGTATTAATTTTACGTAACATTATTATATTACATTTAAAATTATTAGACCCACGTAAAAAAAAGAAAAGGGGGATTGGTGGGGTCCAACTCCCTTCCTTCTGATATTTTAACCGGAAAGACCAATTCATGGATAGATAAGAAGCCTCATAATGGAACTTAAAATCTATGGCTCCTGATATGCCACATCATCAATTGTAAAAAAAAAAAGGATTAAACATTGTTAGAATTTTTCTTCCCGTTCCCCTAGCTTCTTTGTTTGCTTGTTTTTTGTTCTTTTTTTTTTTCAATGCGAAGTCAGAAAATCTGAAAATCAAGTCACTCATTTTTTTTTCTACTGAAAGTGAATTTATGAATCAATTTTAAAATTAAATAAAACACCCAAAAAATCTCTTCATTAGATCTCAAGTCCTTTTTATGCATCTATCAACCTTTTTTCAAAGATGATGCTTGTGATCGTGTCTGTTTTTTTTTCACCAACCAATTACTGAAAGAAGAATTTGTAGGATTACCAAGTCTTAAGCATAAATGACATTTGCCTTCAAGTCACAATGAGCGATGTGAAGCGAGATTATTGGTTGGGAGCCTAGAAGTGAAACTGTGAAAAGGCTTTTATTATTGGCATCTAAGTTTTAAGAGAAATGAGTGAAGGTTAAATTGGAAATCAAGAAGTAGAACAACATGAATTTGTTTTTGAGGTTTCAGTTTTTTCGATTTGTAGATGAAGAAGAAGAAAAGGAAAACAAACAATTATAAATATATTTTAAGGTGAGACTAAATTGTCGTTAACTATATTCATCAGTTTAATATAAAAATTGATTGATGATGTAGTACATTTAAAATTTTAAAATCATAGATTTTAACTTTGGTAACGTAGTGTCTTATCTCACCGTAAACTATTCTTTCCATTTAAACTTCTTAAAATACAAGAGTTACATTCGAAGAGTGATGACTCGTTAAACTTGACTTAAATTGAGATTTGGATAGAAATTTTTAAATTTGGATTAGTTTAGTTTCATCAGAAATAATATTCAATCAATAAAAAATTATTTTTATTTAATTTTAATCTTAAAATATATTAAAAATATTAAAATATGAATATAACAATAAATTTTTAATTTTTTTGACTTCCGAAAAATGCAAGAGCAGGACCCCATTAAAAAAAAAAAAAAGGCCGAAAGCCGGTGAAGGTGGTTACAAATCAATAGCCAAAAGCGGATAGCCGTTCATTAACCCCATTCGCACTCCAACATTGACTAATCTAATCCACGGTCCACGCAAAGCAAACCACTCCCACTTAGTAATTAAAAAAATGAAAATTAATTAATTATATATATCTTTTAATTCGATTTTTTTTTGTAAAACTTTCTGGAAGTCCTTTTTTTTTTTTTAATGAATTTATCAACTATGAATGTGAAAATAGGTGTAATCAAATTTATAAAAATTAATTGAGTAGAATACAAATTTTTTTTTTGGATAGATTTACTCAATTAAAATTAAAAATTGTAGAAATTAGGTAGGAAAAAAAAAAGGAAAATAAATATACGTCATTGATGTAGTAAAAGAACACGTGCGAAGACCAGTGGTAGAGAAATCTTGTCGTGTCCGCGTGTTGCGTCGTGTCGTCTTGCTGGCTGACTATAAATTGGGGATAGAGAAGGGAACTTTGTTTTTTATTGGAGGGCAGAAGTTTGATCATTGAATTTCAAACGCTAAAATTGAAACAGTTGAGTTTCAACATTGAATTTCAAACACCTAAACCGTGTTGGCTATCGGGACGAGAAAAGCAAATGTCGACTTTGAGCGTTCCGCCGGTTCTTACCTCTCCTAGAGACGATGCTATTCAGCTTTACCGTGCTTTCAAGGGTACCATTATTTTCTTGCTTTTCTTTCTGAATTTAGTCATCCGTTTTAAACCCTGACTCCAGTTTCAGTTGGAATTTAGACATTTTATAGAACATTTTGCTATTGAAAAGGAAAACATTGTCTTCATTAGTATGTGTGTGTGTGTGTGTGTGTGTCTCTCTCTCTCTCTCTATATATATATATATATATATATATATTATATAAGTCAATCAATTGTTGGACCATCTTAGGAATTGAGACGTGGTTACAGGAAGTGCAATTTTCTATAGCAAATCAAAGTTTTCTATGGACAATCTTTGGAATTTGTGGAGAAATAATGTTAGGTTGCGTTTGGTAACATGCATTTCATAACAGGGGTTTAGATTTCAAATTTAGTATTAATTGTGTGAAAAAGCATATGCTAATATATGATAGTCATGATTATTTTCAAAATCTTTGATTTGTTGGACCTCTATTTAGTAGTGAATTTGAAATAAATCTAAGTATTTGTGAATTTAAAATTCATCTTTTTATACCCTTTCAAATGTATTGGCATATTGAATTTAAAATTTTCGTGCATTTGTGTATAGTGTGTGCATTTAATTCTCATAATTTATATAGTAAATCTCTCAAATTCATCTTTCCGAACATACCATAGGGTGTCCTAGAATTTCAATTTGACATGTCTATGATTATGCTGAAACCGATCTGCACTGTACATAGTTCTACTTTACAATTGAATAATAGATTTCACATTATTAACAAGTGCAGCCACACAACAGTTTTCCTTGATGAAAGACATTTAATGAAAGAATTATAAAGAACAAACTGAGTCTGGATCAATGATTCTTCTTTTTTGTGATTTGGACCATAATCCACAGCAAAATTTTGAATAAAATTGCTTAAAGATTATATTATTGTACCAACACAAGAATCAATAAAAAATTCAAAATGAAAAAGAACCAAGTAAAGAGATAAAACGCATATTATTACATGGAAGGAAACAACTCTGGTGTTCATAGGCTTACCAAAGAAAAAAAATCAGTATCAAGGATCCAGATTATAGCGTGAATTAGTTCAGCTGAGATCTGTAGTTACAACAAATCTTTCATTTGAAGTTACTCGCCTAGAATTTTTATGTGTTTTACTCATTTGTTCAACCGAAAAACTTTCTACCTTTCATTTTTATGCTAGGCCCCAAAATCTTTGAGCGTATAAATGTCAGTCCAAGGTGCCAATGCCTCTAGGGAATTTAATGATGCAGTGATACCTCAAGTTCTTAGTTGAAAAGCAGAATGCTGGCATGATTTTAGTGATTGCTCTCTAAATAAGATATCGATGCATGCATGAATATGTAAAAGGCTAAAGAATCAAGACACTACACAATATTCTTCTTCTTCCTTTGCAATTGCTCAACTGTTCCTATAGCCAACAAAGGCAATTATGATTCTCTTTGAGATTGGTTGTTTGATTGTCTTTTAGGCTCCTTTTTTTTTTTTTTTGTAAATTTTACTTGTTTTTCATGGTTGGAAACAAAAAGAAAATAGTATTTTAAGATGAAGAATAGCTGATCTTTTATGAAGAATAAATAACTGAGCATTTAACTTTTTATAGCTAAGAAAAAAATAGTTTCATTTCTATATGGAAATATTATGTTTAAATTTTTTTTTAATTTATTTCTCATTTTTAACAGAATCTTTCTTTTTTTTCTGCTTTTGCTTATACTTTATAGAGAAATTATAGTGAACAAGAACAAGAAGAAAAAGCAACAAATGGATTCTTAGTACTTTTAAGAAGCAAATGAACAGTTAAATTTATTATATGCATCTTAACCATTTAGGAGTTATTACTTGAGCATGTTTATAATTTATCAAAACCTTGTTTGAATCTTATATAGAAACCATATGCTCAAATTGCAAATCATTCAGTCTTTTGGTCATAATATTTATTCATTTTTTTCTAGTTATTATGTCTTATGAAAAATGAAACTCAACAAAATTGAATTAATTGAGCATGGAAGAGCATGTAATTGCTGCTCTTTTTTGATAACTTTTGATTTGTATTATATCTCATGTTTGGCTTACAACAATTTGTTCTTGAACTAAAGGAAAAGGAATTGAAATTTGGCTTCATCCTGCTTCATACAAAAAACATTTTAAACAATTTAAATTACCTTCTGTTGTTCATTTTTTTTAAGAAAGTCAAGGAACACTCTTTGTTTATATCCAAGAGTAATTTATATTTTCACAATGAAATGTCCATGTAGAAAACCTCAACGGAGTAATTCTTTCTGCTTCGCCTTGTGTAAGAGACCATTTGATCACAAATGTATACTTTGTGCTCTTTTTTAACAATTGAGTACATGAACAGCATATTGCTCCAACAAAGACTCTTTGACTTTATTTGTACCTAGAATCCTACTTACGTGATTCAAATCTCATGTACATAAACAACATGAAACAAAAATCCTTTGCCAAAATAAGTTGTTATAGAAGTATTTAAAGATCTAGTAGAACTGCATTTACACAGATATTGATTAAAATAATAAATTAAAAAAAAAGAAGAAACAAACCAATAAGTAATGTCATTTGTGGAATTTTTCTTATATCAATAAGTAATATTGATTAAAATAATAAGTAATGCAGGGTGACTGTAGAAAAGGAAAAAAAAAAGTTCAAAACACCAAAATTCAAAAGCTTGGAAAAGGTTATTCTTTCATTGTTCCTGATGTCTCAAGTTGTAGAACTATTCCCAGTGTGTGGTTTTCTTTATCCACTTTTACTAGCATAGGCATCCATCTCCTAACCCCTTATCTGATTTTATCTTTATCCTTGGTAGAGTTCTCTAACCAATATTCTTGTTATCTTTTTTTCCTAGATCGCTCTAATCACTAAAAATCTATTTGGAAGTTGCATGTCACATGGATATGTCTATTTGCTGCTCCACCCCTTCCTTTTTCATCCCTTCTGCAGTGTAAAAAATTGAAATGTGTACATTGCATCTATGTGTCCAAGCTATTTGTTTTCCCCTTCATTTAACAATGTTTTAGTAAAAAAAAAAGGGTTTATCATTTATCATTTTAAAAACTTTACTACAGACTATTATTTCATCCTGCCTTAAAAACTTGTCTTCCCTATTAACAAAATAAAATTGTTCTTTTGACATTCAAGATAAGACTTTGAAGCTGTTCTAAGTTAAACTTTAAGTACTTTATGTGCTAAATTCCTCTTTATTGTCAGGCTTCTTCCATTAATTTTATTGTGTAGATTATTATTGAATGGCTCCCTGTCTAACAAAATCAAAGCATGCTCTTCATTTTCAGGATCAAACAGTTAATTTGGTAGGGTTAAACATCAGAAACAGAGTTTTATCTGATGGAAGTTTTGATCATGCTCTGCGAAGTTTCATGAATTTGCTGGCTACTACTCGTTAATCTTTAATGTTATTCATAGAACCATAAATTTCAGGTTTAGAGATCGCTACTTCTAGCTAAGTTCTTTCTCTAACCAATTTGCATTAAACACTTTTATAGGTTTCTTTATCTTTAAAATTGTTTGTGCTGTTCTGACTCTGAGTTACTTGAGGAAAAAACTTATAAATCTACTGATTTTCAGCATACAAGATGTATGATTTATTAAATCTATTAGATGAACATGTTGATTGCATACCTTAATCATTGTGTATCCTTGAAGAAGGTTAAAACCCTTTGATATCTTAGTTTAAGAGTTCTTTCATCTTTTATAGACTGTTTGATTTTCTCTGTGTATCTTCTTGAGGGGAAATTTTGTTATAATGCTTTAACAAATGGGGAAAGTTTCTTAGTTGATGCAACAAATGGTTACAGCTCTTATGGAGAACTTCCAAATTGTGGTATCACTTTTCTACTCATTTTCTTTGTGGAAAGCATCAGTTGTGACTATAGGATCAAGATTTTACATTAATATGTGCAAAAATCAACTGATTTTATGAAGAAAAGGTTAAAAGAATATTTCTTTTTCATGTTTTTCCGGTTTTACTTTTCCCTCTAGGGCTGGGATGTGATACTGCTGCAGTGGTCAATATTCTTGCCCATCGGGATGCAACTCAGCGTTCTTTCATTCAACATGAGTATAGAGCAATGTATTCTGATGATCTTCTCAAACGACTGGCTTCAGAGCTTAGTGGAAAATTAGAGGTACCTGTCTTTATTTTTTCTCTATTATTTTGGTTTTGCAGGGTTTCAATTCATTGATCACATAAATACTGTTTGGAGAACCCTATATTGCCTATTTTAAATTGTAAGAAAAGATAAATCTTCAGTTATGTGCTCTATATATTCTGTGCAGTGCATGTGTACGTGCTGAATTTTCACCTTATATTCCTGTCTTTAATTTTTCAGAAAGCTGTCTTGCTATGGATGCATGATCCCGCAGGACGTGATGCAATCGTCATTAGGCAGGCATTTTTAGCAGATGTAACAAATCTTGATGCTGCAACTGAAGTTATATGTTCTCGCACCCCATCCCAGATTCAATTAATTAAACAAATTTACCATTCAAAGTTTGGGGTTTTTCTTGAGCAAGATATTGAAGGACACACCTCTGGTGATCATAAAAAGGTACATTTTCCAGATGATAATTTTAGTATGCTGAGCATCCTAGTTGCCCTATGTTGGTAACATTGAAAAGTATTTTACTTTTCTATTTTTCTCCTTGAAGAAAACTTGATTAGCAAGATATTGAACAGTATTTTATTACAATTGATTAGCATATTGTTTGTTTTTTTCTCTTTTTCAACAGGCATTTGCTTCTTGATATATTTCTCTTCTAGTACTTTAGTACTGTTATTCGTGCGGAGAGTATAAAAGTTTCCAAAAGACCCCTTTTTAATCTCATTTCTTAATATTTGCTCAAGTTACCTGTCCCCTTTATATTGTATATCGCTTATCAACTTGATAAATCTAAAGATGAGAGGAAGACCAAAAAACATTGATGGTATCTATCAAAATGGACCTTACTTTTATGGATGGAAGGGCATAGTGGTGAATATGATCGATGTAGCTTACCCTATATAGTGGGAAAATACTTAATTCTTGTTGTTACCTTCTTTAGTGTGTCAAGACTTGGAGCAAAAGTCACTTGCAGGGATATTTTGTTATAAAAAGTGAGAACATTGGCTTAAATCTCCTGTGAGACTCGGAATAGCCCTTGGTCTTGATTACGAGAATCCCAATTATAGTGGAGGGCTTACATAAGTCAGGTGGAAAGCATGTCAGAGGCAATTCCTGTTCATCTTTCCTTCTCTATTTGGGAAATTAAAATCATTTTATCCCTTCCACAAACTCGAAATATATTTCTTAGATCTTAGGAAGAAAATTTAAAGCCACTGATATTGTGACTTAATGTACTTTGTATAGCTCTTGCTTGCATATGTAAGTACCTCTCGTTATGAAGGCTTTGAAGTTGATAGAGAGATGGCTCTGAAGGATGCAAAGGCCCTCTTTAAAGCAGGAGAGAAGAAATTGGGAACTGATGAGAAAACTTTTATCCGCATATTTAGTGAAAGAAGTAGGGCACAGCTAGCAGCTATTAGCTCCGCTTATCATGACATGTATGGAGGCTCCTTGAAAAAGGTAAATTTTCTGTCTTCTCATCTCCTTTATTTGAATTCTTGTTGTGATTAACCAAATTGAAGTTTTTCCAGGCAGTGAAGAGTGAAACATCTGGGAAGTTTGAGCATGGTCTCTTGACAATTTTAAAATGCTCAGAGAATCCTGCAAAGTACTTTGCTAAGGTATATAGTTTTTGTTCCTTAAGGTTCTAGTTGTTTGTTTCCTATGCTGCATTTGGTCATAGTGATGGGATTATGATGAGCTAAATAATATAGCGGGCAGTAGCTATGTCTAAAAGGATGGAGTTGCATCTTTCTTTGTTCAATAGTCCTGTTCATTACATGCTATGCCCGTGGATGTATGTTTGTATGGTGTTTAAAAAATTTTTCAAACGAAATGGGTAGGTGATACAGATTCATGGTATGTTTTAGCATAGGGTATAAATTTCTTTGTAGAACAAAATATGCTTCAAAGGTGATAGGACCCTCGAGAATCCCTTTCACAAAATGTGCTGCTCATGTACTCTGGGGTTTATATCATGTATTCTAGTGTAGTAATTGCAATAGGGATTGCCATCCCAATTCTTTTGTATTTTCCTTTATTTTTATTTATAATCTCTTTCGTATATTTTTCATTTGGATTGTCAGATATTGGCATGTCATTGATTACTTTTCTTGACCAGCTCTTTTACCTGTAAGAAACTGACATCAACTCGCTTTCACTGATTTGATAGAGTAATATGGTTATTAAATCCTTGCAGGAACATTTCTTCTGGGAATTATAATGCTAGTATTTATATGTTTGTGTCATAATTGCATGTCTGGAAATTATCTTATCACTCTATGAAACTATGTAGGTACTGCGTAAGGCAATGGAAGGTCTGGGAACTGATGACACTACACTTATAAGAGTAATTGTGACAAGAACTGAGATTGATATGCAGTATATAAAAGCCGAGTACCTGAGGAAATACAAAAAGACCTTGAATGATGCAGTTCACTCAGAAACATCGGGCCACTACAGGACTTTTCTTCTCTCTCTTTTGGGACCGAATCATTAGTGTAAAGGATGTGAATATGGTTAAGTACTTGGAATCTAAGCATTGTGTCTGTAAATAATGGAAACAAAACACCGTATGTGTGAATGATGTTTAAGTGGATGCAGTTCCTTTTGCATATCATGATGTATTTGTCAAAAATTGGTAAAACGGAAAGTGATTGCTGAGTTGGTTAGGTGATGACCGGCGGTGTAAAAGGTCTCAAAATGGAGTTGTGACCACTATCTTTAGAGATAGAGTGCATGTAGGCGAAACTGGTTAGATGATTGCATGTGATGGGAGGGTTTTCACGTTGTTCTGTCTGAATACTACTTTTAGTTGATCTTTAAGGTGCATATATGTAATATATTGCTTTTGCCAGACTGGAAGTCAGATATATGTGCTGTCTTTTTGCTTGATTTGTTCACGTCTGTCGAGTCCATGGTGAAACTCATATAGGAGAGATACCCCCGCCGTGCCAATAAATTTGTCATTTTTGAGTTTTAAAATTGTCTCATTCAAAATGTCATTTTAAAAGCGTCAACAAATCTTAACATCATATTTCCTTTGTACTTTATTATGCTTCAATTTTAAAATTATTAAAAAAAATTTAACATTAACCTTTTTACATCATTATACTAAGCAGTCACGTAAATTAAAAAGTAAAAAATAAATTCAAGGTTTAGAAAACAATCAGATAATAAAATTGAGTAAAATTAAAGAAAACAACTTTTACATCAGAACTATCAATCCATATTTAAAACTTTTCATTACAAAGTGCTTATAAAATCTATACAAAATCTTTTTACATTTACTGGAGCCATACCAGTTAACCTTTATACAAAGGCACCATATTTACTTAAGCCATAGATAATCAAGATTTACCAAAGTAACACCATGGTTAAACAAAAACATACAAATCGTGCAAAAATATCACTATCTATCTAACCAACAAATACTTTTTCATAAATCCAAGATTTCTATCGTATTCAATTTTGAAGTTGAATCTGCAGCATAGCTTCTTGCACAATTTCTTGGTCACAATGAAGTTGGACCCGAAGTTCTCCATTTTTTTCCAACCTTTGCTTACCTATATGTGGCAGTCTATAATTGTTTCCTGCATTAACTTTCATAATTTCAACCATGCAAGTTTGTAATGTCAAAAACACTTTATTCAAATTCTCTGGTGACAACTCCTTAATTAAAAGATTTTTCTACAGTTGTCACTAACTCATCAATTGTTGTAGGAGCTTTTAGGTGCTGTAAAGATTGTATTGCTCTGAAAAATCCAAGATCCAATACATTCAAATCAGGGCTATTTGGAGGTTGAAAAAATAGCTGAAATTCAAATCCATCTACACTTGCAACTTGAAGAAATTGTTCATCATCAATGTCGATACGTGGCTTTGTATTATCTTGTTGAATTAAAATTCTTCTTTCACTGGAAAAAAACCATTTAGCTGTGATTGCTGGTAACACTTTATCAATTAAACATGACCTTGTGACATCTTTAGTTACTCATAAAATAGTTTGTCTCTAAAGTTTCAGCTAGTCAATTTTGGCTAGTACGCCTAGCTGGTTCCTTGTATACAAATGGGAAAATCCCTATTTTTCCAGAAAGTTCACAATTCGCCAAAATCATCAAAACGTGGTCTAGCTACTGCAACTAAAAATATCACTTTGGTGATAAATTGTTTGCTTTTACAAGTACGAAAAGGTTCAACCTCATAGGATAAAGGTAATATCACTCTGATGTTTTTGACAAGTAAAACCACTTTTCATCAATGTGCACTACATTAAACGTGTCAATAAACCGAGGGTTTGTGGTGAAAGTACCTTGCTCAATCCAATATAAGCAAAATTGTAATCATGCTCTTTTGTTTGCATCAGTTAGATAAGGCTTTATAGTATTAGTATGCAACCTGATAACACCTTCCTTGATTCGACGTTGAAGAGTCGACTTTGACATATCTAAAATTAACTTTGGCCATTGATCGAATATCTGTTCACCTACGAAGTGAAATTTCTAAGATATGATCAACTTCAGTGGAAATCCTCCTTTATGAAATAGCCCTTTGTTGATACTTACTGCTAACATCGAGCACAATACCTTTTTCCACAAATTGTTTGCTCGATTTCATAGCCTAATCACAGTCTTTGTTGAGATTGAAACCATGTCTTCGGTTCTACTTATAGAACATTTTTTCAACTTTCCATCACTACTCTATTTTAACAAAGTTTCAAATAAAGTTTGTCGTTGCTCTCTAGTTATGTGCTTATTTGGTTGTCTTCCATTTGTATTTATCATTACAGACTATTTCCGTTCCTGTGATATAGAATCCAAATATCATTTCGATTCTTTCCTTTCTTCCTCTTTCTTTTTATTTACATTTATTTTACTAAAAATAACTAGAATAAATAATAAAAAAGTGTATATGAATTTTTGCACAATCCGTTTTTATGTTATGTCTAAATTCTTTTGTTGAACCTATCTATCAAAACTCTATAACAAAGGAAAGAACTGGATTGGTGTTAGTTTGGATACCAAAAATTTTATTAATGAAATGGGTTGGAGTGGAATTAGCCTAGATACAAAAAAAGCACTTTTCTTAGATAGTCTATTCTATTTAGTATTATATATATATATATATATATTTATATATATTAGCATAATATTACTATATTTTTTATTTTTTGCTTTTAGTATTTTTTTAAGTATATTTTACATTTAAATTATATATATAATTTTTTTATTTTTATATAGATATAGACTTAATTTAATAGATAGATTTATATGGAGATGTACAGAATCCATCATGGAGTAAAAGACTACATAGGTAAAAGGATTTTTGGATATTGACAACAAAACATAGCAAGAAAAAATAAAGGAAAATATTGACAAATTCTTATTTTAAAGGAGAAAAAGTAATGATTTAAAATTGTTAATAAGAGTAAAATGTTGGTGTATAAAAATTTTAGAAAAAAATTTGTGAAGATTAATCTGGCGCTAATTTTTTTTTTTTTTTTTTTATGAAATTTGAGAGCTCCATTCAATAAACGTTTCCGTCTTCAGGTGTCCCACCTTTTAAGGATAATGTAGTCAATTCAAATTTTTTATAAATGAAAGTTTTGACTTGCTAAAACCATGTGTCCAGAACAAAATAACCGGGACAGTAAAGTATTCGAAAATCATAAAAGGCAAATGGTCATTATTTGTTATGTGTTATTTTTATGCCAATTGAGAGTAGTAGCATTTACCTGGTATCAATCATTTTCACGTGATTTAAACTGTTATGCTTAATACTAACGCATGCATGGTTTCAAAATTTCTCGTATTGAAACCTATTTTTTTCTCCTTGGTGTAAAAAAATATATATATATATATTTTTTGAAAAAAAAAAAGCCAAAGCATGTAGCCTTTAATGGATGATGCTGATGTAGGTAAAGCCCTTTTTTCTTTCTTTTTTATGCATTGTGGTAAGGGTTGTTTACTATATATAGGTAGGATATCTGTTTATTTTGAGGTATGCGAAGCAGAAAGCCTTTGATACAATGTTATTTTCAATATAACCACAAAGGATTGCAATTTCACTTTTAATGTATATATCCTAAACCTTCTTGAGCCTAATTGCTTATAGCTTTTAACTATTTTTCATTGTTCAATTCGAAAACATTATAAAGGCAGAACGAGAGAGTAAGGGAACAACTCATCATTAAAATAAGTTCTATAAAATAAATTAATAAATAATAACCTACAAGTAAATTCTCACCAAAATTAATCATTTCAATGAAAAACCAAACTGTTTTTTGTTCCCGACATAATACAATAAAATGTCTCCAAAAGAGTATAATAATACGGATGTTTGATTTTAAAGGTCTCAAATTCGAATCATCATGAAATAGACGAAACATATTTTATGAAATGAAAAAGGGTTTAGGTGCAAAAAAAAAATAAAATCAAGGGCTACATCCTATTGTGTAGCCCAAGATCATATGTATAAAAAATAATAAAAGTTTTTTCAATAATCATTACATTACCATTTATATATACTAACAAAATATTTGCGTGTTGTCATTGGTCAAAAATTTTTTGTTTTATCATATCTATTTAATTGGTTTTTTATTGTAAAATTCACTTAATCTAAAAAAAAAATGAACAAAAGAGGCAAACACACGACATACACTCGGTATCAACTATCAAGTGTGTTCCAAAAAAATTAAATTTATAAAAAAGAACAAAAAAATAAAATCCAGATGTGATGTTAATTCATTTGTCAATATGTTTTTTACAAAAAGTAAATAAAAAACCATAATGAAAAAATATATTCTAATAATAATATAAAATGAATCTTAAATTTTTGAAAAATATTCAAATTTTATTATTAAATAAATAAAGGAAAAAATAAATAGAAAATTGATTAAAAAGCAAAAAGAAAAAAGAATCAAATAACTTGACATGTGAAGTATCCTTCAGGTCAAGTTAGTTATAAAAAATTAAATCTAAAAATTTGTTTACCAAATATATAAAAATAAAAAGAGAAAAATGTTTTAAAAAAAAGACATGTGGCAAACTTTTGATATATAAAAAGTAAAAAAAAAAAGCATTAAAAAATTTATTGAATTTTCTTAAAAAAAAATAAATAAAATTGATAACAAGTTGGTTCCTAACAAAATAAAAGATATTTAAGAAACATTTAAAAAAATAAAAAAATAGACTTGATATCAAAGAAAAAAAGGTTAAAGAAAAATTAAAAACAAAAGTAAGTCACAATGAAAAAGGGATTATAATAAAATACATAAAAATTAAACAATGAAAAAAACTTAAAACATCTTTAAAGTGGATCTCACGAAAAAATGCAAGTTTCATATTTAAATACAAAAAAGGTGAGCTTCAAGGGAAAAATATTTTTTTTACACGGATTTCACCTCTTTAAAAAATTATTAAAAAATTAAAGAGATTACGCGTGTTAACCTTAAAAAAATAATGTGGATGACATGCAGTGTACAGTACATATTTATACGGTACATATTCATACATATACATGATTAATTTATAAGATACTCGAATGCACGGATAAATTAAACTTTAATTATGTATAAATAAAATTTTTGTAATAGATTTAAAAAAAAAAAAAGTAAATGTGGTTCCCACAATTAAAAGGAAAAAATTGCAAAAAAAAAAAAAAAACCAAGATATAGATCCTACGCTAAAAAAAAAAAAAAAGAACGTGAGCCTCATACTCTTAAAAATTTTAAAAAAATTAAAACACCAAATGGACAGCAAAAATAAAAAAGAAAGAAAGAAAAAAATGATAAAAAAATAATGAGTCCTACATTAAAATTTTTTTTTTTTAAACAGAATGTTAATCTCATACCTTTTAAAATTTTGAAAAAAATAAATTAGGCGATCCTACTTATTAAAAACAAAACCAAGGCATGGGTTTCACACAAAAAAATTAACTAAAAAAGGTGTGGGCCCTATTTATTTTAAAAATTTAAAAGGAAAAAAATAGGTAGGCCAATAAAAAAAATAAAGGGCTATGACGTGGTAGGTCAGACACATGACAACCCCATATGCAAATTTGTAGCATTTATATATAAGATATAAAAGTAAAAAAAATATAAAACATAAAAGGTAAAATGATAAAAACTCTTATAAAG